GCGAGCTATTTAATTGTTTGTCATGTATGAAATTATTAATGCAATTACGTCATTGGTTGTATAAAATTATTAATTCATTTTTTTAATATATTATGTAAAACTATAGCTTTTTTTTTTTTCATAGAGGCGAGTCTATAAATTAATTAAAAAAAATTTTGTTTTTCTTGTAAAACAATTGATTTTTTTTCTTCTATATTTTCTTTTGTTATAGATGTAAATTGAAAATGCATGGTTTGTACAGCAAGTAGGAAGTAGATAATCTATACTTGTGATTTGCTTGTTGAATTCTTAAACAATCCATAGGTATTTTTATATTTATAAATGTGTGTCTAGACCAATAATCAAATTGCTTATTATGATAAATCAATTATTATTATTATTATTATTATTATTATTATTTTGAGAAGTAAAGGTAAAGAGTGTTTGAATTGTAAGTATATGAGTATTTCATAAATTTTAATGAAGTTCGAAAAACAAATAAAAAAAAACATGTTTAGAACTAAATAATAGATACTACTCAGCTTGTTTAGTTTAATTATTTTAATAGTTTTACTCGTCATTAATTGCATTTATTAATTCAACAACTCATGAGAATCAATTAAATATATTCGATAATAACGTTTAGGAACATTAAATATGCCTTTCTACATTGCTAGAATTTTTATATGAAATTCGATTTGTGATTTAGCTCAAAGAATGTGTTATTTGTGAATTAAAAAGAAGAAGAAGAAGAAGAAGAAGCAAGTGTGGATACTATTTGAAGAAACATGTTATTTTTGATTTTTTTTTAAATCAAACAATTGTATAATGAAAGAAGATAAAATTTATCATATTTGAAACCAACATATTCTAGGATGATTATAAAAGAATATATTTTATTTTTTTTTTAAATTTGAAAGCAAGGAAAAATCAATAAAAACTCAATTTTCAAAAAAAATATCAATTTCATATTTTTTTTAAACTTAAAAATGAGAAGAAAAAAGTAGTAACAACACAATCTATAAAAGACATTTTCTTTTAGCATAAATACACTATTTTAGCATAAATACACTATTGTTTTTAAGCAATTGTTTACTAAAGGAGCCTTACAAACCAATTTTTATACGTTGTTAGACAACAAAAACAAGTGCTTTATGACTTGGTATATTTCTAAGCCATTCGACCTTTTGTTTAGCTAAATTATTTGCAATAAGATTTTGTCTCGTTGAAGTGGATTTTTTTCAACAAAATTATTAGTAGCAAAAATCAATTGATTTATTTTTTAAAATTTTTAATTTTTTAAAAATAAATATTTTTATTAAATACAATTTTGACTTAAATAAAAATTAGTAACAAAATTAAATCATTTTTTTTCTAAATTCGAACTTTCAATCTATTAAAATCTATTAATTATAATTTGTATTACCTTACTTCTTGAAAAAAGATTATTTAGAATCATTTTTTATTAAATATATTTTGAAGTAAATTGTCCATGATTTTTTTAATTATAACTTAAAATTGTATATTTTTAGAGGTCATGTCAAATCGAATCTTTATTTTCTTGTCATAATAAATTTTTCAAACATTGGATCCACTTTGTGTCTCGATATAACCAAGTGTGTCGAAGAACGACCTAATTGTTAAAAATGATTTATTTTGGCTAACAACAACCCTTATGAGATATGAGACTTTGCTAAACATTTTATGATTTTAATTTTTTAATTTTTTCTTTTCTTTTTCTCTCTCTCTCTCTCTCTTTTATTTGATGGAAGGTCGTCATCGGTCCCTAAAGAATTAGAAGACTTGACAATCCTTCACTTTTTAATTATGAAGTCTAATTATTAGACAAATAAATTAAGTTACATTAGTTAAGTACATCAAAGAAAATTCAAATAATGAAATAAAAATTAATAACAAACATGCATAAAATTAAAAATGAAAACGAAGACACATTTTTTTTTTTTTTGTTCGAAGCTAGACCAATCCAACCTAAATTTTTTCTCTTTTTTTTTTTTTTTTTTTTTTGGAATGAGACTGGAATGAAACCAGTTCAACCCAAGTATAAGCCCAACCCTCATCATTTTATTAAATCCAAGCCTAAAAACACAAACCAAATCCTTTTAAAAAAAAAATCTTGGATCAAAACCCTTCTTCTTTTCTTTCCGTCCTTATCCAATAGTTTTCCTCATCTCCCGAATCTCTCTTTCATCATGGACAAACCAGCAATGGTTTGTCCTTCTCTTTCTTCCTCTCCCCTTTTTTTTCTTCCTTTCTTCTTCTTCCTCTTTGTTGAATCCTCTCTCTCTCTCTCTCTCTCTCTTGCTTTCTCACTTCTCCCAAACCTACCATAGAGGAACCGAACCGGTTCGTCCATGCTTTCCTCTTTTTTCCTTCTTTTCTCTTCCCTTCCTTCTTTTCCTTCTCTAAACAAAAATCCCCCTTCTTTTCCTTCTCTAAACAAAAATCCCCAAATCATTTTTTCAAAATTCTTTCCTAATTTTGATCAAACCTTAACTTTACGATTCTTTAAAATTTTCTTTCCATTGGTCTTATTTTCTATTCCCTAACCTAATTTCAATTTAATTTCAAAAAATTCTCAAAATTCGAAACAAAACCTAAATTGACAATAAAATCCAAAATTAAGAAAATTAAAGGAGGTTACCTAGTAAAATTGATTGAAGATAATATAGATTGCAGCTTCAGTTTAGTTAAATTCAGTCTCTCTCCCTTTTTTTTTAATTTTGATTTCTTTTTTTTTTTTAGCTATTGTCAATTTTTTTCTTAGAAAATCCTTTCCTCTAAGACTAACTAACTCATCTGTTTGTGTTTCTTGTTGTTATTTATACATATAATTGTGCTCGGTTCTCCACCATGATGGTGTGAGATTTTTCTTGCTGGAGGTGGTGTGAGGTTTGATATGGTAGTAGGGGCGACTACCGGTAGTAGGGGAAGGTTGTGCAGGGGGAGGTTATGTCGTAGGGGTGTGGGTTACAAGAATTGTTGACTTGTGAGAAAAGAGAGAGCTGCAACTGAAAAAAAAAAAAAGATGTGTGAATAGTGAATCCATAGTAAACTCGTGTTTGTATGAATAGTAATATGTATAGCAGTTTTATGTTTTACTTTATTATTATTATTATTATTATTTTGTTAATGATGGAGTACATGAAAATACATGTATGCTTATCTTTTAAGTGACGACACCATATGTCGATGTGAATATATATCCACAAGTGGGTTTTCACTTATTTAAATTTAAGGCCCAATTTGGTATACATGAAAAAAATACACTAAACACATGTGCGTCATCTAACCAATATGGCTACCAATATATGCCATATGTCGAAAAAAAGTTAATAATAAATAGTAGTCACATAGTCATAAAGACTAAAAATTCTAAATGCTAGTTCTATAGAGATTACATATATTATGGATAAAAAGTTAGTTATATTTATGTAAAAATAAAAATGACTCAAAAAACATCAATTCTAAGAAAGGTTCTCAATTTATTCTATTCCTAAGTCAATTTCTAAAATTTATTTATCAAAATATTTGTAAGCCTATTTTTGAATGGTTTTAGAACACATAAAAAGACATTATTTATTGTAGAATCGTGTTAAATTGATATCGGACCCTAGCCTCAAGAGTCATTTTAATTTAACATTGGATCGGATATGGTATGAATATTTTAACAATTTAAAACATATTAGATAAATTAGATTTTTTTTAATGGAATGATGTTAAGTTATCATGGCATCCTAAAATTAGAGATTTGTGTTAATTTAAACATCGGATTCTATTAAAAATTGAGAGTAAAATATTTAATCAATTTATTTTTGAGCAAAAATTAACCATATAGCATGACTTAAAAACAAAATTCGGATGTTGGTCTAAACGACCTTGGCATTTAATTAGAGCGTATATCTATATATATCCCAATAAATTGAAAAACGAATTGCCCCTATCCTAAAAGCAATGTTGATACTATAATGCTATAGTATGAACTAGAAAAAATTCAGATTTGTGTCTAAACAATCTCATAAAATTATGAAATTTTATATATAATTACAAGACACATATAACTGCAACATACAAAAAATTTAGCTTGAAATCACATCAAAATCTTACCTAATGAATTAAAGAACCAATCTTGAGAAGCATTCAGAAATTTTATGATGCCTAACAAATAATTAATAATACTTATTCTATGATAGAAAATTAAAAATTATTTTATGGATTCATATAATTTTCTCTCTGTGTCTCTATTGTTTTCCCTTCTCAAAATAAATCCATAAATAAGTATTAATAATTATTTTTTAAAGTAATTTTAATTTTTTTCCGTAAAGTGTTAATAGAAAAAGCTTGTTTGTTTACCATTAAGAAATCCCTTAGTTAAGATTTCGAGTTTGAAATCCTTTTGGCAGGATTTCTCAACTCTTGAAATAATCTTAACAAAAGGATTTCATGATTAGAAAACAATGCAAGGATTTGTCTCAATTCAAGAAACATAAGGAAAACTTTCCCTGGCCTAAATTATTATGGTTGGTTAAAAGTTAAATTTCACAGCAATTTCTTTTATTTCCTTTAAAATTCGTTTGGAAAGAGCTTACAAACTGATTCCAATATATTCTTTATCATTGAATTAAATATTTTTTTATACCAGTTTAAGCTTCAAGAATTAAAAATAATTATTCCAATTTAAATTTATCGATCAACTTCAAATTAAATCCTCTGCCTATGGTTAAAAAAGAAAAAAAGAAAAAAATTGTTTTTTCTGCCCTTTTTGTGGAATGAAATTGCAAAATATTTTATTTATTTTTGTGGAAAAGGGTAAAAAAGTATGTGGAAAAGGTTGTCCTTGCCCATGACCCAGCTACTGCCTTTGCGTTTCCCAAAATAGTTATAAAGAAACAGCACTGCAAAGTCCAAACTCAGACAAGAACTGGCACTCATCTCTAAAACCAAAAACCCATAAAGTCCCCCGCCTCTTCCTTCCACCAAGTTGTCAAATTTTCCATCATAACATGGAAGCTAACATAGACCCCTCCCAGTCACTACCTCTTTATGATCTCATCATCTTAGGGGCTTCAGGTTTCACTGGCAAATATGTTGTCAAAGAATCTCTCAAGTTCCTCAACGTCCCTTCTTCTCCTCTCAAATCTCTTGCCCTTGCTGGTCGCAATCCCACCAAATTAGCTCAAGCCCTTAAATGGGCCTCCCACCCCGACCCTCTTCCTCCAATTCCTATACTCACTGCTGATACCACTGACCCAGCTTCTCTCCACCTCCTCTGCTCCCAATCCAAGCTCATCCTCAATTGTGTCGGTCCCTTTCGCCTCCTTGGCGAGACTGTTGTAGCTGCTTGTTCAGAAACTGGGTACCCTTTTCATTTCTCCTTATGTTTGTGTGTGTGAGTGTGTATGCATAACTATAATTGTAATTTAAAGGGACAATAATGCTTGTGAATTAGGTTATTTGTGTAGTTTTTGATAGGGTTAGTGCTTGTTGAAAATTATGCTAGGTGTGATTACCTGGATATATGTGGGGAGCCTGAGTTTATGGAGAGAATGGAGGTGAAGTACCATGAGAAGGCGATGGAGACAGGTTCTTTAGTGGTTTCTGCTTGTGGGTTTGATTCAGTTCCGGCTGAATTGGGATGGATGTTTAATTCCAAGCAGTGGGTGGCTCCGGCTGCACCAAACCAAATTGAGGCCTATTTGAGCCTGGAGTCAGATAAAAGGATTGTTGGGAATTTTGCCACGTATGAATCGGCAGTTCTGGGAGTGGCCAATGTCGAGCAGTTGGCGGAGCTGAGGCGATCAAGGCCCAAAAGAGCAAGGCCAGTGGTAAGAAATTTGTTTTTTGAGTCTTGTGGTTTCCTTTTTATAAAAACAAAACTAAAGTGCAGGCCAATCCCTCTGAATGTAACGTTTTTATGAATCAATGGTGGTTTATATTGTTTGCTTCCACAACTGTCTCATGATATGCTAATTATTTGTAGGTGTGCTTCCAAAACACGCTAATATGGTCTTAATTAATGGTTGCACTTCACACTGGGATAATGTGCTATACTGTAATCATGTGTAATGAAATCACTTTAACAAGTATCCTTAACTGTCTCCATTTCTATGAGTCATTGGTTAGTTCTTGTTTCCATTTTCAATCTTTTAATTACGTTACTGGACTTTTTAAACAAAAATCTGCTTGATATGGATATATAATGCAATGTGCAACATGTTGAAGTCCTCGTTATAGCTGTGGAAGTAATCGCAGAAGGTTGAGGGCCCTGATGCCATAAAAGGATACAATATACACATAATTTAGATGTAGGAGCTGTAGTTATGATAATATTGTGATGGCCTGCTATGTTGACCGAGAATGTCATTGGTAGTGCCATGGTGATTGTGCTTTCAGCAACTTTAGCATGCTGATTGTAGCAGTGGTGGTGGCAGGTGCCTGTGAATTCAGTCTGTGCACTGATAACATTGGTGGTTGTATCACTAGCAGTGGTGCCAACTGTGTTGCTGTGGATTCAGCTCTAATTATATTATTTAGTATAGTATGTGACAGTAAAAGTGCCTTTTTTAGGGGTTCGATTCTCGACTTGCATGCTTCTTGAACTTGTCAACATTTAAGCAGCAGTGTGTTTTATATTTTTCTTATAATTGCTCCCATGTGCTTTTGACCTGAATCAAGGAAGAGGTTGCATGGCTTTGATTAATCTTTCTCGTAACAAAATAGCAAAAAATTTGAAGGGAAAACATAAACTGTACTTCGCTGTTGATTATCACGACTTTGTTTCCAAAGGAACTGAGTCAAGATGGGAGATTGTTGCAATGTGTTGGTGCAGAAGTCTTCATTTTTAGAATACATTTATTTTGCATGGATGCTTGCACTGCTACAAGTCTGAAGTCCCACCTAGTTGTTCTCTAAAATACTCTGGATGTCAATTGTCGTCAATGTTGTGATGTTGGTCTGCTCCTGATCAGGATTGCCCACTAACAACAAGAGACTTGAGTTTTCCCTGATAGTTTCCAGATTGGCTGTCTGATTGTTTTTTAGTTAAATTTGTTAAGGATCTGCGGCTCTAATTGGGAAATATATTATCATTTCCTTAGTTTTCTTACCATATGCAGCAACACAGCTTGCTAAGTTTCAGATCAACATAGACAATCTTTTCATCATGCATTGTGCTTCCTAGTTGCATCAAGAAATGTAGCTAATGTCATCAATTTACCGGCATTTTTCCAGATTCCTCGTCCCTTTCCTACCGAAGGACCAAGATGCATGGACTATGCTTTCTATTTGCACAACGAGATGCAGCTAATGTCTTTAGTTACCTGTGTTTTTGCAGATTCCTGGTTCCTTTCCTCCCAAAGGACCAATGATAGATCATCAAAAGGAGATTGGTCTTTGGGCTGTGAAGCTACCTTCTGCAGATTCTGTTGTTGTTCGCAGAACTCTTACAACTCTGACAGAAAACCCTCATGGTCTTCCTGGGGTCAATGAGAGTCCTGAACAGATAAAAAAGAGAGAGGCTTTCTGGTCAACAATAAAACCTGCCCATTTTTCGGTGAAGCTAGGCTCTAAAACACTACTGGGAATCTTACGATTCATTATAGTTGGCATGTTCATTGGCCTCTTGGGTAGAAATGCCATTGGGAGGTGGCTTCTCTTAAAGTTCCCTTCATTTTTTAGCCTTGGTTGGTTCAGGAAGAAGGGTCCCTCAGAAAATGAGGTGAGAAGTGCTTCATTCAAGATGTGGTTTATTGGACGTGGTTTTAGCGACACAAATGTTTCTCAGGACAGAATGAAACCTGACATGGAAATAATAACACGAGTAATGGGACCTGAGGTTGGCTATGTAACCACCCCAATCATCTTAGTTCAATGTGCTCTTATTCTTCTAAGTCTCCGTAATAATCTGCCAAAGGGAGGAGTTTTCCCACCAGGGATCGTTTTTGGTGCGACAGATCTCCAAGAACGGCTGAAACAGAATGGAATCTCTTTTGATCTCATTTCAAAGAATGCTATCCTGGCTTAACTACTTAAAACTTCTCAAGAAAAAGAGCAAGACCTTGACTAGTTAACACTGATAGATAATAGCCAGGTTATTTTCTTGCCTTTTGTTCAGAGTCTTCAGACATCTAAGAAACAAAGAGGAATGCCTTGTTGTAGTTATAGCTTTGATGTGATTATGGTTTGAATGAGCCTGATGTTTTTTGTAATATGTATGCTTATTTTCCTCTCTCATCTTTTATTGATGAACATTATAATTATATGGTAATGATAATAAAGATGCAAGATCCTCTTGACTCAGAACTTCTTCCACATGCCGATGAGTTCAGTCAACCCCTTGTTAGAACTCCCACCAACCCCCACTGCTTTCCTAGCCTCTTCTCTGATGAACATGGCCTGACCTCTCAATGATTCATTCCTCATAATTTCTTGTACCCTTCCTGCGATTTCTGCCCCAGTCACTACTATCTCTCCACCCCACCCCCAACTATTCACCCAGATTCCCATTCCATTCCTCTCAACAACATTTGCGTTGACTTTCTGGTCTCCATGCTGGGGCCAAGCTAAGATTGGCACTCCATGCCATACCGCCTCCATCACTGAATTCCACCCACAATGACTCAAAAATCCACCAATTGCTTTGTGGCCTAATATTCCCTCTTGGTTTAACCAATTCTTCACCACCAGTCCTTTTTCCTTTACCTTCTCCATCAATCCATGTCCAATTACCTCTTCCAGCTCTTCGTTATCTTGTCTATCAACTTTCTTATCCTTCACCACCCACAGAAACCTGATCCCACTCCTAACTAGTCCTTCACCCAGCTCTCTGACTTGATCTCTTGACAGAGCAGTCCTACTTCCAAAGCTAACATACAGTATTGATCCAGCTGGTTGACCATCAAGCCATGCTAATGGTTTGCTCTTCTCAAAATCACATGCTGCAAGTGGTCCGATAGGAATAACTGAGGGTAGTCCGGCTATAACTTCACCATGATTTAGTTTTCTGAGTGATTCTTTCTCAAAACTTTCAAACGTATTAACCAGAATCCCACTTGATTCTATCATCTTCTTACCGTTCTCTATGAAATAGCTCTTTGTGGAATTGTTGCTTTTTTCAAGAAGTGGTGGGGGAATCCATGATTTGGGCATCATCTCCAGACCTGACTTGATGACATCCATCTCATGTAAATCATCCTTTCCTGAACCAGCTGTAATGTGGTAGGACAGGAACAATGTCATCATTTTAGCAGATGTCGTGAAAAGAACATAATTAGGAAGGTTAATAGCTTCAGTGATGGGAATAACCACGGAAGCCAAGCTCATGTCTGTGATAAAAGCCGAGAGAGGCGGAGATAGTGAAGATAGCAGAGGGGATAAAAGGTGAGAAGACTGTCTAATGACATCAAAATGGTAATAAAAAGGGTCATCTGAAATGGTAGGATTTAGCTTTTCAAGTGGAAGGAGGTGAAGCTGCTTTCTGGTGATTTGAGGGAAGGAAGCAAATAAGCTAGATAATGCTTGTGATTCAGACAGGGAGACCGTTGGATATGGAGTGATGAAAGTGACTTGGACATTTTGGACCGAGAGTAAAGCAGCAAGTCTAAGGAAAGGTGTGAGGTGACCCATGCCAGCACTTGGGAGGAGAGCTACGTGAGCAGGTTTCTGGTCGCTGGAAGAAACTGACATTCTTTTGTAAATTGTGGCTGTATTTTATGTTCGACCTCTAAGAATTTATGATTATTACCATTATATGCAATATGCATGGGTTGGTGCATGTGGTGAGATCATGTGGAAATAAAAGAGTCAAACATGGCAACTTACGCTTGGACAGCTTTCATGATCACTGGAAGATGCGTACTGAACTTGCTTGGTTAGGTTATTCGTATCTTGGTGTGCACGAAAAACTATTAATTGAAATCATGCCTACCAGATTAAGTCCATGAAGCCTTTCACTTTTTTCACGTTTTATTTATGATAAAAATGTGCATTCGTTCAACATTGTTTAGTAAACAGAAAATTGTGCCTAGCCTGATTCGATTCTTAACAAGACAACAACTGGTGGTTCCATTGAGAGAAATCATTGTGTATTTTATGTAGATCAGAATCAATTACTCACGAAGTTATGGTTTATAGAATTTGTTACTAACAAAATTGTTAAACTTGATTTTTAATCTTGAGTTTTCATATTCTATACTTTATTTTTTTTAATAAATCAATTTGTACTAGTAAATGAAAATAGTATTATAATAATTAATTATAAGGTAAACCTTTTTTTTTTTTTTACACCTATAAATTCAGCTATGTACCTTTCACCTCCATCTTTAAGTTTAAATATTTTGAATGCAATCCTTTTTAGTTTATAAGATTAAATAATTGAGATTGAATTTCATCTAAAACATTTAACCCTTATGGTGCATGATCTTTTCTCAACTTTATATATTAATTATTTTTAGTTTAATTATTTAATGTGAAATATATTTTCTAATAAGTTTCAATGAAAAATTACAATTATTTAAATAATTCGGATAGATTAAGACGATGGATATTGGATTGGCATCTTCCAAATGATCTAGAGCCAATCAATTATAACATCAAGTTGTTTTAAGAGTCACAATCGAAAATAAATTTATTTACTATATGATGCACAGTCCAATTGCATACTTGTTTAACAAGAGTAAAATTTGGAATATTAGAATTCCAAATTAAACGAGCATCATCCTGTAAAATCATGTGAGCCTCAATTTTGTTGAAACAGCGTGTTCTCATAGCTTGGATGAGTAACAAAGCATCTCCTTCCCCAATGATGAAGATGTTGAAAAGGATGATGCCAAAAAGAGTGTTTCAGGTAATGATGGAAGATGTTAAGAAGGACAACAAAGCATCTCCTTCCGCAATGATTAAAGGATGTTGCCAAAAAGACTGCTTCATGTAATGCCATGGCCTCCATCAGGCCGACTTAAGAGTATTTGTGGCCCTAAGCAATAGTTATTTGGTGGCCCTCTGATAATATATATACACATTAAAAAAATATATATATATATTTTTTTTGTCTTATGAGATGCAAAATCACTAATTAAATTTTTATATTCAAGTTTAGAAATTAATTTTTTTTTCAGTTAATAATATAGACAAATTACTTAATCTTTATTGTGATATCGCTTTGATACTTTAATATCTTATATTATTACCCCGCAATCTACATAAAAAATAATAAAATAAATAAATATCACTATAATTATAAACAAAAGCATAATACAAACAACCTCATAAAATAATATATTGACTCAACTCAATCCCACAGTAGCATTTTCAATTAAAAATCTTGTCTTCATTAAGACTCGACGCAATCCGACCGCATAACAAAGGAACAAAATTTTCAAGTAAAAAACATTGTCTTGATTAAGTAAAAGACAAATATTTGGCATTTGGAAAAAGTAGAGACAAACATTGGGTAAAGCACAAAAAAAAAAAAAAAAAGATTAAAGAATCATTGATGGAGGTTGAGCTTACAAAGAGTGTGAAGACCGAGGAATGGGTCTTGCAAGAGGGAGTAATTGATTTTCATTTAAAGTTGCTAGAGTTAGAGAGTAAGGATACGTAAATATGAAATTTGGCTTTGTTAGAGTCTTATAGAGCAATGATATAAAATCTGGTTTTGTAATTAAGAAATATGGTTTCACAACTCAAAACTCTAGTACTTAATAAGCTTTATTAATTTTTTTTAGACCCCTCTTTTTAGGGGCCCTAGGCATAGGCCTTAATGGCCCATGCCTCGAGACGACCTTGGCCTCCATGACAGCAGGATCAAAGGCACAAGAAACATAGATCCCTTTAGCCATTAGAACCGAACCCGCACAGGTCCCTAGAAACAACTCTAAGTCCACCTAATTTGAGAATAGGATGAAAAGCTCCATTGAAGTTGATCTTAATGCAACCTATGGTAACAATCGTGTTTCTTCCCCAAACTAAAGAAATTGATACGGACTTAAAAACCTAAAAAGAGACCGAAAAAGAAAAAAATTACATCTACTAGTTGCGAGCCCCTAATTCCTTAATCAATGCTAGTTAGAAAATACTAATAGCTTGAATGTGCTACTCTAAAAATATCGATCATGTTACTCCAAATGTTGCTCCGTTGTATAAAAAATGAACATAAATGCAATCTCAATTTTTACAATTCCTTTATCCCGGAGACTTATGTCATTTAGTTTTAATAAAATTTTGCTAAAAACTATAATACTTTATAAAAAATTTATTATCTTTTAAATTCTCATCTTGAAAACATGCTATCACTAACAAAAAATAGATAAATAGTAATAGATATAAAGTTGTCGGTATATAGTGATTGATTAGTGAATGAGTAACGATTCTTATCAATTTCTTGACATGTTGGGTTAATAGAGATAAAATACCAACTTATTAATATTGAAAAGCTTTCGTTTCGAATTATGCGATAAATTTTTGGTGTTTAATTCAACGATGGAATACCAACCGAGTTGCGAGGGATTGTAGTGGCAAATGGTGTTGTTTGTCGCTAATTTTGAATGACATATGGAGAGATGATTTAATGACACCAACAATGGTTTTAGTAACAGAATTGAGTCCATCACTAAATCGGCGACGGATTTAGCAAAAAGATTGAGTCCGTCTCTAAAATCAACGACGGGATATTTTGTCATAAATTATAAGAAAAAATGGAACAATTAAAAAAAAATCAAACAAGGACGGACATTTATTTTTAGCAAAATAATTGCATCTATCACCAAAAAAAAAAAAAAAAATCCTCAAATCCGACAAAACCTTTCTTCTTCCTCCATTTTTCCTTTCCTCCATCCCTAAAAAACCCTTAATTGCCGCCATCGCTTTTCCTCTCCTCCATCCTCAAAATCTCTCAATCACCAATCCGATCCATCATCACCATTTTCATCATCTTCTTGTTCATCCTTTATGCCATCTAACGTTCCCTTTCGTTCTCCTTTCTCATTCGATATTAATTTTGGTAAGGTCAAGCACCAACTTTCTCTCATTTTAATTAATTAACTATGTTACTTTTTACTATTAAGTTCCAATTAGACATAGATTAAAATTTATAAAGAAAAAAAACATCATATGGAGGAGCGAAATAAACAAAAAATTATTTTTCTCCATCTAAAATCCCAAAATCACCATTGTTTATGTAGGTGCTCTAGACCCAATCTTGTTTAAATAGGTTTGACTCATTATGTAATATTGCATCCTTTATTTTATTAACAAAAGAAGTCTTTTTATTAATTCTTATTATTTATATTTATTGAATAGAATTAGCTAGGAGTTCGGATGATATTTATTGCTTTAATGATTGATCAAAAGATATGAGATAAACATTAATGTGCTTAAAAGATATCATTAAATGTCCTAAGCCATAGAATTATCAATAATGGACATTGACCATATGTGATTAGGCTTTGAGTGTTATGCTCATGCAATAAAATAGCAATAGGAGATCTTACACCTATTGGTATGGTGATGCCAAAGCAAGCACTTAAGTGATTAATGTTAAAAAACATATCAATGGACTTGACTCACTATAAGAACCCATTTAGTTTAATTTATAAGAATCTCAAACGAGATGGATACAACTATTTCTTTGACTTGAAGTCATCATGGTTATCTTTTTAAATAATTTACGTACTCTAACACTTGTTTTGATAGACCTACTAAAGGATTGCATGTGGGCGATTCGTTGGGTGAACTAGAAATCTAATAAAGATAGGTGGATAAGTAGGATATAACATGTCATTCTTTGTATGCTAATGAAGTTATCACATTGCACATCAATAAATGTCCGCCTAAGAAATATGTGACTACGGTAGGAGTATACTAATAGAGTATAGTTGGTTTAGTCTAAGAGCTAAGATGTTTAAGAATCGAAGAAAACTTGTGTGATCGTAATCAAACGGACTAAAAACAAAGTTTAAGATCACATTGTGATAAATTATCATGAAGACTGAATTGTATGGTAACCATGCTTATGAAAGGTAATTGCGGATTAATTAATCCTTTTAGAGAATTTGGTAGTCATGACGCTTTGCTAGAGGCCAATCTTGATTTATGTATCAAGAGATAAAAGAGGTCTTTTTTATTCCTAATAAATTGCTAACACATCTAGGAGCTTATTGAGTCACATGCATAAGTTTAAGCATTCACATAATAAAAGAGAAGCAAAGATTTTGGAAAAAGGTTTTCAATTTTGAAAGTTTCCTATTTTGGAAAAAGTTTTCAAAAATGAAAAGTTTCCTAAAATAGAAGTTTTCAAAAATAGAAAGTTTTCTATTTGAGAAATTAGTTTCCTAATTTGAAAGTCAATTTAAAATTTAGAAGTAAGTTACCTAAAAGAAAAATTAGTTTCCTAATTTAGGTTTAAAAGTAATTTGAGAAATTGTTTCCTAATACAGGCCTCTTAAAAAATATCTAACCTAATTTGTTTGGATAGTCTAAATTAATTAGTAATTAAATAGTCCAAAATATTTTAGAAAAATAGGTTTAATTGAAAAGCCTTTAAAATATTTTAGTGGGAGGATAAACATATCTAGGAGCTTATTGAGTCACATACATAAGTTTAAGTATTCACATAATGAAAAAGAAGCAAAGATTTTGGAAAAAGATTTCCAATTTTGAAAGTTTCCTATTTTGGAAAAATTTTTCAAAAATGAAAAGTTCCTAAAATGAAAGTTTTCAAAAATAGAAAGTTTTCTATTTCGGAAATTAGTTTCCGATTTGGAAGTCAGTTTAAAATTTATAAGTTACCTAAAAGAAAAATTAGTTTCCTAATTTAGGCTTAAAAGTAATTTGAGATATTATTTCCTAATATAGGCTTCCTAAAAAATATCTCAACTAATTTATTTGGATAGTTCTAATTAATTAGTAATTAATTAGCCCAAAATAGTTTGAGTGAATAGGTTTAATTGAAAACCCGTAAGATATTTTAATAGGAGAATAAACGTGAACCTTATTGGATAAGGATCAAGGTTTACAATGATAAGATAAAAAAGCCCACAAACATTATAGCTCATTATCTTAGGAGGATAAGAATGCCGCCTCCGATATAAATAAGAGAGAGGCAAAAAAGAGGTATCAAGAGAGAGTGATACATAATAAAATAAAAAATAATAGAGAAAAAGAGTTTCCTTCCCCAAAACATAGATTTGTCACATCCCTTCTTTAAAAAGCCCGAGTTATCATATAAAATCATAATTTGATTTCTAGAATACAATTAACTATACTCGAAGAATTAGAGCTAGCACTCTATGAATTCCGTTACTTTTTTACGAGTTTTTAGGCTTCATGGATTATCAATAGAGGCTAAAAACTTGGACAACTATTTTTTACAAAGGTTAAAATCTACATTACAAGAAGTAATCCTTTACTCGGGCTTTAATTCATGTATATATGGTTAGCCGATTCAACGACTCGATCTTGGGAGCCTTAAATGGAGAAATTTTTATTTTATTTTATTCTACACCTCCATAGGATGTATGATCCTTCAATTGGTATCAAAGCCTTTATTGAATCTTTAATTGTATGCTTTGTTAATTGTGATTAACATGAATTATCAATTCTTGATTGTAAATCCGATGTTTTGGTATTTTATATAAGTTTTTAAACCAATTTTTAGGTTCTAAAAGAGTGGGGTGCACAAGACCAACGTTGGACGTTGGAGCATGTGCATGTAGCAAGAAGGTTGGTTGGTAGCAAGTTAGGCACGCAACGAGCCTAGCCGCTCATGCGCCGGGCACACGATAGGCTAGACACCGGCCAAGTCGATCATACGCTAGATATGCAAGAGGCCAAGTATGCCTCACGTATGCCATACCTCTCGGCCGTGGCCGTCATGCCTTAGGCTTGCCTCATGCACACTAAGGCCTTCTAGTGGAGGCTAGTTGTGCCTTGCGC